GGCAGGAGGGGGTGGAGTAGGGCGGGGGCCGAGCTCCATCGGTGAGCGCTAATGGCGGCGGCCGCGGCTGATGCCGAAGGCTGGCCCTCCCGCTGGTTCTGGTAAGCCCGGGTTCGAGTCTGGGCACCGCCCCATTGGTCTTGGACCCGTCACTGCCTTCTCTGGGCCTCAGTGTCCTTATTTTTTAAGTGGGCCAGATAACGCTTGCCCGGGAGGCCTTGCCCTGCAGGGCCTGCCTCGGTGCTGAGCGAAAGGGGGCCCCTTCGCCTCTCTGCATTAAATGCCGGCGCTCGGGACGCCTGCCAGTCACTGGCTGGGCCAGGAGGTGTAGCTGGGCAAGTTGCACCCACACTTGAATTTACCGTCAGGCTCTGTTGCTCACTATAGGTGTGACCTTGGGTAAGTCCCTTCTCTCTGAGCTTGTCTGTAAATCAGGGAGAGTAGAAATAACACTAGCAGCAACACTAATGTCGCGATTATCCCACCTCAGGCATTTAATTGTCCACAGCACTATGAGCCATGGACAGTTGTTATCCATTGTTAAGATAAGGCACCTGAGGCACAAGGACTTTAAATCTTGACCAAGGCCACACAGTTTAGTCTATGATGCTTGGCACCAAGCTGCAGATCTGTGACAAACTTGAATTTGTTTCCCTCGAGCAGGATGGAGCCAGGTGAGGAGCTGGAGGAGGAGGACTCTCCAGGTGGCCGTGAGGATGGCTTCACTGCTGAGCACCTGGCTGCGGAGGCCATGGCAGCTGACATGGACCCCTGGTTGGTGTTTGATGCTCGCACCACACCTGCCTCCGAGCTGGATGCCTGGTTGGCCAAGTACCCACCATCCCAAGTTACCCGCTACGGGGACCCTAGCTCACCCAACACTGAGCCTGTGGGCTGGATTGCAGTGTATGGGCAGGGCTACATCCCCAACTCAGGTGATGTGCAGGGCCTGCAGGCAGCCTGGGAAGCCCTGCAGACCAGCGGGCGGTCCATCACGCCTGGTACCCTGCGCCAGCTGGCCATCACCCACCACGTGCTCTCGGGAAAGTGGCTGATGCACCTGACACCTGGCTTCAAGCTGGACCATGCCTGGGCTGGCATTGCTCGGGCCGTGGTTGAGGGCCGGCTTCAGGTGGCCAAGGTGAGCCCGCGGGCCAAAGAGGGTGGGCGCCAGGTCATCTGTGTTTACACAGACGACTTCACGGACCGCTTGGGTGTGCTGGAGGCAGATGCAGCCATCCGTGCAGCAGGCATTAAGTGCCTGCTCACCTACAAGCCTGATGTCTACACCTACCTGGGCATCTACCGGGCCAACCGCTGGCACCTCTGCCCCACTCTCTATGAGAGCCGTTTCCAGCTGGGGGGCAGTGCTCGTGGCTCCCGTGTGCTGGACCGCGCCAACAATGTGGAACTGACTTAATGGGGCCAAGTTGGGGAGACCACCCTCTGTGCCCCCTGCTAGGGGTGGATTCCCCTGTCTTTCTCCTTCTCATTCCAAGGAGGTCAAGTTCCCCAGTTCTAAGGACTAGGTCACTCAGAAACTGCCTGCATCTTGGATCCCCTTGAACTTCTGCCCTCTGTTCAGGGCTGACTCAAGTCCCCACCTGCTGGTGGTTCTGGCTCTCTTGAGGGCCGGACCCTCAGCCTCTCTCTTCGATGCTGCTCCCCTCTGCCATCCAGGACTATAGACTGGGTACAGACACCCAGGAGGAGAGCCTTCCTTGGCCACCTTTATTCATGGCTGTACCTCCCCCTCCTCCTGCATTCTCCCCTCCTCTTCCTCACAAGAGAGAAAACTTAGTGCTTCCAGTCCCTCTCCTTGGATCCTTCACAGTCCGGGGGGCAGAGGCCCTGCAGGCCTGAGCATGCCATTTTGTTGGGGAGGGTGGTGCCCACTCAGCCCCTGGCAGACAGAGGGGATTCCAGGGCCATGGACATAGTGTCTGCCCCCACCCTGCCACCTCACAGCCTGCACCACCTTCCTCTCTTCACTACCTTGTCATGTGCCTGCTCCTGGCATTTCAATAAAACCCAGCTTGGGTCTGTGTGTTGAGTGTTTTTTAAAATACTGTGTTGGTGGTTACCTGCTTCGGTTGCTGGAGAGAGGCAGGGCCAGGAGAGACTGCCTCTCTGCCCTGACTGGGCCCTCCTAACTGCCCCCAGTAATAAGATACACTTCACTACCAAGGTTGGGAACCTCCCTGAGAGCCCCTGCAAAGCCAGCACTGCTTAGCCTTCATCATCAGAATCAGCTTCTCAGTGATTTCCCATAAATCCAGGGGCTTGGCCCAGAGAAGTCCAAGGGGCTACTACTAGCCCACGGTGTATTTGTGCTTATTAGAGAAAGGCATCCTCTTGGTCCTGGCAGTTCTTTGTCAGAGCACATGGTCTGGTGAGTAAGCAGAAGATGGGCTGCATTTCGGCAACCTAAGCTGGACATCCTTGTGCAGTGAACAATCTGCACAACCATAAGTAGCCCTGGAATCCCTCCCAGTTATCCTCACCTCTCCACCACCCTGACCATCACAGGGGCCACTGGACAGTTTGCAAAGCACTCCCACATGCATTGTTTAATTGTCACAACCTGTTTGGAAGGGCATGTAGGCCCCATTCTGTGCTCAAGGAAATTGAGGCCAAGAGGGGAAGAGAGTTCCCTCAGGGTCATGCAGTGAGTTGAGCAGAGCTAGGACTTTCACACTGGTCCCTGCCACCTCAGGCAGAGTGTGGTCCCTGGCTTCACCCACAGTGAGCTCTTCACAACCCACCCACATGATCTCTCTGGGCCACCCCCTGGACTGACTGAGGCTGCTGTACACTCGGAGCCTGGCTCTGGCCTTGGTATTGGGCCAGGGTGTCTGGCAGGAAGCCCCTTGGGATGCTGCTCTCGTGCCGTGCCGGAGCTGACTCAGCCTCAAGCAGCCTCACCAAATTGGAATTTGGAGCAGGGGAGCGGAGATGCCACTGGGCTGACTGGGTGGAAGTGGGTGAGTCATGAGATGCTCGCTCAGTCCCCCTCCCCAGCTTCCTCCCCACCCGAAGCTTCCCCAGGGCTGAGTCCCCCTCTCAGCCCAGCCCTGGGAAGTCCCTAGAGCTGGGTGGTCTCCAAGTTGGAGCCTGGCGTTCTGCATCCCTCAGATTCAGTGCTTTGCACTTAGCCAGAATGGGCTAAGGCTTAGGGGGATCTTGGCCAGGCCCTCAGGGGTTCCACAAAGATGCCCAGGTGGGCATCCTTCCATAACTAAGCATTTCACACACCCCTTCTCCATCCTCATGGCCCTGCTTTAGCCGGTTCCTCACCTTCTCCCAAAGCACTACAACTTGCCTCCTCTGCCCTATTCCCCTCCTACTTCTGCCTCTTCCCCCCACAGCCAGCTCTCCCACAGAGCTGCCTACATCCCTCCTACTCAAAGGCCTTCTGTGGCTCCCCACAGCCTGCAATACAGAGTCCACTCTCCTGAGCCAGCCATGACCTAGTCCCCCCACCAACTGCTGCCCCAGCTTCCCTCAGGCACCCCTTTCTGCCCATGCTCACCCCACTAGAGCTAACTGGCATTTCCTTCACCCCCTGGTACACAGCCCTGAGCCTCAGGCTGTTCCTACTGCTTGAACACCTGTTGTGCAGCAAGGAAGAGAGGTTCCTTATGTGATCACTTGATTGATGTCTATCTCCTGTTGGCCCCTAAGCCACATGCCCAGACTCTGGGCTCTGAAAGCAGGAACAACAATGTCTGAATCTCAGCCCTATCCCCAGAGCCTAACACAGTACTTGTCTAGAGCAACCTCTACATAAATTATTAAATGAATGAAAGCATGAACAGCTCAAATCCGGCCCCTGCCAATCCTTGCGGCCCCTTCTTCATTCCTTGTTGCAGAATCAAGAGCTGCCTGTGGTTGCCTTGCACACATTCTGGCCTTTCTCAGTTTTGCGCCTTTGCTTATGCTTTTCTCTGCTTGGTGTACCTGAAACTTGCCTGCTTTCCTGGCTGACTCCGCATCTCAGACCCACCACCCACCAGCTCATTTTCTTGGAGATTTCTCCTCCCCATCCATGTGCACCCCAGGCTCCCATAGCACCCCCCTACCTGTGGCTCTCATCTGAGTGTCTGGGCCCCTCAAGAACAGTGGCTGCGCTTTATCCCTCAGCATCCAGCATAGGACCTTGGCCTAGCACAAGAGCCAAATCAACATTATTGAATAAATGAGTGATTGATTAAAAGTTACTCTCTGTCTCTGGGACTGTTCCCTCATTCTACGCATAACATGAGCCAGGCACTGTGTTAAGTGTTCGCCTGTGGTACCGCCTCTAAGCCTCACCTGGCTCTATTATTGTTGCTGTTTTGCAGAAGAGAAAACCAAGGATCAGAGAGGTTCAGTAATTAGTTCAAGGTTATAAAGCCATAAGTAGCAGAGCCAAGATTTGAATCCAGGTCATCCAACTCCAGAGCACCTGATGTATTGTTGAGTCCCCACTATATGAAAGTACTGTAGGGGTGCGGGGGCTGCAAAGATTAACAAGAGTCAGCACGGGCCCAGCTGGAATCCAGAGTCAGGCAGACACACTCCCCATTCTCTGGCCAGCCCCTCCGGAGCCTCTGTAAAGTACACAGGTTGGATCCTCAGAACCACTTGGGAGAGAGGCTGAGCCAAAACTAAGATTTCCATTTTACTGGTAGAGAAACTGAGGCCTAGAGAGTACACTGACTAAGCCTACTTGGACAGTAAGGATCTCCCAGGCGTACCATGGGATTACTCCCCTGACAGGCCCAGGACTCCCCAAGACGCACCCCATCAGCCTGCCAGGTCCCTCTGCCCTATTTGGCTGGCCCCTTCCTACCCGGGAGTAAGGAAGTGGCCTGGTACAGGGTGAACGAGGCTGGGTAAATTTGGACAAGCCCCTGTGTTCTGCTCCCTTTTATAAACCATGGGAAGAATGGCTGAGGCCGGGGAAAAGAGACACTCACGCGCATTGCATTGCGAACCCCCATGCCCCAGGGAGGAGGCTCCAGCGGGGCAGGCCAGAAAATGGGGAGCATCTCTGCCTGACTCTGGATTCCAGCTGCGGCTAGGGGCTGAATTGGGGAGGACAGGAAACAGCTGAGTCAGGAGAAAGCTTCAGCCAGAGCTTTGGCTAGGTTTTGGGGATTTTCCCAGCAGGGCAACTGCGCCCCACTCCCGCCTGCTGGGAGGGGCTCTGGCAGGGATGAGACTTGGGTCACACAGCTGATTCATCGGAGAAGGGAAACTCCCCACTTCTCTGACATACATCTCCCGGACACTAAGGGGTAACCTGAGGGCACCCAGCCCAGAAACCCACCACCCTCATCTTTCCTTGATGACTGGCCTCCCAGCAGGGCATGAAAACCTCCTCCAGGCTGGACAGAGGGACAGAGTTGGGCAGGGTGGCAGGGCATAGGGGGCAGCTTTCCAGGGAATAACACCAGAGACCGGAACCAGAGCAACAGTTAGACCAAGGGCACCACTGGCATCCTTCTCTCACCTATTTGTTAGATGAAAAAACTGAGGCACAGATAGTAAGAACAAACACACACACAGACTTCCTCTGCACCAGGCTCTACTCTAAGCAGTTTGTCCTCACTTTGGTCCTCACAGCCCTTGTATTACTGAGCAGGAAACTGCAGCAGAAAGAAGTTAAGGAATTTGGCCATGGTCAAGGCTAGAAATTCTCCGGTAGCCTCCACAGCTCCCAAGAGCACTTGTAAACACCTCTGCAGCAGAAAGCTCTGTCCCTGGTCCCTGAGCAGCTCTGGCCTCTGGGAACCATAGAAGACAGACTTGTCATTCTCTGGGCCCTGGCTCCTCTCAGGCTAAAGGGAGACAGCTGGTTCCTACTTGAGGAGGGGGGGGGGGCGGTTCAGCTGAACCCACAGAGGCCAGGAGAGGGCAGCGAAGCATTCCCGCCAAAATTTTCCTCTCTAGGGCTTTGACTCTTTTCCAAATCCCAATCCAGTCAGAGCCTCCCTTTCCTGTCTGCCAACCCCCCTCCCCAACAGCACAGACACTCAGACACGCACACCCAGGCGCACGCGTGCACACTGATAGTCCAGCCTCCAGGCCCCCGAGCCTGGCTGGGCCTGCTTCATGTGCCCTGGGCCCAAGGCCTGCTGGCTGTTGCAGGGGATGTGGGAGCTGTGGCTCCATAAGGCATGGCGAAGGGCCCCACAGAGGCAATCTGTGCCCTATCTGGATCCCACTCACAGGCTGCATGACTCATCCCCTCGCCCCCCCCCCCCATGATTCAGTTAACAGGGGTGCCAGGAGGTACTCCCAGCGAGGGTGGGGCAGTTTACTGGCCCAGGCCAGGCCTGCCAGCCTTTCATCCCAGGATGAGAGTTTCATCCACCTCCTGGCCCTGAGCAGGAGCTAGCACCCTGGAGTGTGGGGGTGGTAGGAAAGCCTCAGGTCTGGGGGATTAGGGTGAGCCAAGAACTGGGTGACAGGTCCCAACTGCCCTGGACCCGGGTCTGCAAGGAATAGGAGCTGCTCCAAGAAACTTTCAGACCAGGCTGAGCAGGCAGAGCCATCCTGGGCACCGACAGCAAAGCCCTCGCTGCCCTCCATTCAGAGGAAATGGTCTACATAGCACGAAACATAACATCAAGAACATTCTCACTAACATTTCTTAATTTCTTACTGTACCAGTCCCGTGCTGAGCACCATCCATGTTTTATGTCATTTACACCCCCCCCAACAACCGTGAAAATCAGGCACAGACATTATCATATCCTTTTTTATAAATAAGGAAACTGAGGCATAGAGAAGTTAAAGGAATGGCCCAGGTCTCATAGCCAGGAAGTGACTCAAACCCAGGCCATCTAACTCTAGACTTCATGTTGTTATTTCCTACTGTGTCCAGAGCTGTGCTCATAGGAGCAGGGATGAGGGGCCCAAGATCTGACCTGCCCCTCCCCCAGTGGATCTCCACTGAAACCTCTGGTTTTAAGGATCACCCTATGTAAACCACTAATCTGCAAGAAGGGGAAACTGAGGCTCCCAGAGGGGAAGGAACTGACGTGAGATTAACAAATCAGAGATGGCCCAGGGCTGG